TGGCCCCTGTATCTGTAAACTGAGTGGCCCCTGTATCTGTAAGCTGAGTGGCCCCTGTATCTGTAAGCTGAGTGGCCCCTGTATCTGTAAGCTGAGTGGCCCCTGTATCTGTAAACTGAGTGGCCCCTGTATCTGTAAGCTGAGTGGCCCCTGTATCTGTAAGCTGAATGCACTGCAGTGAGCGGCCACACTGTTCTTAGTTCCAGCGAGCCGGTTTGTCACCCAGCTTGTCTAAAAGGTTGCTGAACGGAGATCTTCGATACCTGCCACCAAAGCAAATCCATTAACTATTTGTTTTTTGTCATCACTTGGATAGATGCCTCTTTGCAGTTTACAAAGACAAGAGAACATTTATCAACAAAATAATTTCAGCCTTGTCTCCCTGCAGCAGACTTATTATTATTAACTCTTTTTTTGGATAACTACACAGAAGGCTTTATTCACTGATTAAGCATTTTTTAAATACAAAAGACGCATACTGATCCAAAGCCATGCAGATTCAACAGAATTAATTTTGCTCCTTTTAATTTAAAGTACATAATCAAATATCAAAGCATCCATGCATAGATTTGAATGCTGGCGATAAGCTTGGGCCTTGTGGATGACTCAGCGTGCAACTGGGACCAGCCCCTCTACTTCCTGTCAACGCAGCCGCACTCCAAGCAGCAGATGTCATCTTAATGGTGAGATAGCGGCTGCCATGGATGTGTTCTGTGGAAAGAGGCAAAGGACACCGGTGCTCTGAGCGGCACAGAGGGACAGAACTCACGCCCATGTACATCAAATAACAAGAAAGAATCAATCTTCTGCCCTGTTGATGTCTGGGAAGCTTTGGTGTGAGCAGAGCCTGAAGCTCTGAGTTCCTCTTTTATCTCATGATCGCGCCTCCGTGCCAGAGGCCCCGTGTGAGTCACAGAGGATGGATTCTGCTCATGTGTCCTGGTGGCACATCGGTGACAGATACCCCCCCGAAGGATCCGGACGAGGCGGGAAATCAAAGGGTGCTTCTGCGAGTCCAGGGGAAAGGGCTCGTATGAGAACCTGGCTGATTGTGCATAAACTGCGACTTAAAGTGTGAAAGCAAGAGGTGGAAATGACAATAAACAATGTTCAATATAATATATACAGTATATTATACACATATGAATATATCTATTAGTATAAATGTAGTAAATTATATGATTTTATACAACACACACACACACACAGTTGTGTAATCATATCTCTTTGGGGAACATTCATTTCTATGGGAAAAATGCTAACGCTAACTATGACAACCTTAACCCCTACCCAGCCCTAATCATAACCATACGTAACCAAACAAAATACAAGAGTTTTTGCATTTTTAGTTTTTTCATTGCAGTCATGGATTTTATAAAATAGAGTTTTCCCATATGGGGATCAGGAAACTGGTCCCCATAAGGAAAAACAAAGGGTATTCATCCTGTTGTGGGGACATACCTGGACCTCACACACACACACATATACACACACACACAATATGTGGACCAAAGTATTGGGACACACCTCTTAATCATTGAATTTAGGTATTTCATTCAGACCCATTGCCACAGGTGTATAAAGTCTAGCACCTAGCCATGCAGTCAGGTTTATAAACATTTATAAAACAATGTGTCTTTCTGAAGAGCTCAGTGAATTCAAGCATAGGATGCCACCTTTGTAATAAGTCAGTTTGTGAAATATCTTCCCTGCTAGATATTCAACGGTCAACTGTAAGCGGTATTATTGCAAAGCATTTAAGGAGCAACAGAAACTGTGTCACGAAGTGACAGAGCGGGTTGCCAAGTGCTGACGAGTTCCAAACTTCCTCTAGCATAAACCCCAACACAAAAACTGTGCACTAGGAGCTTCATGGAATGCGCTTTCTTAGCTGAGCAGTTGCATGCAAGCCTCACATCACCAAGCGCAGTGCCAAGCCCCAGATGAAGTGGTGTAAAGCACAGCGCCACTGGACTCTGGAGCAGTGGAAACCTGTTCTTTTGAGTGACAAATCATGCTTCTCTGACTGGCCGTCTGATGGATCATCAGGGTTTGACAGATGCCAGGAGAACGTTACCTGCCTGACTGCATTGTGCCAACTGTAAAGTTTGGTGGAGATGGGATAATGGTATGGGGTTGTTTTTCAGGGGTTGGGCTTAGTTCCAGTGAAAGGAACTCTTAATGCTTCAGCATACCAAGACATTTTGGACAATTCTATGCTTCCGCCTTTGTGGGAACAGTTTGGGGAAGGCCCTTTTCTGTTCCAGCATGACTGTGCCCCAGTGCACAAAGCCAGCTCCATAAAAACATGGTTGGGAGACTTTGGTGTGGAATAACTTGACTGGCCCACACAGAGCGCTGACCTCAACCCCACTGAACACCTTTGGGATGCACCAGGACACAGACTGCAAATCAGATTTTCACGTCCCACATGCCTGACCTCACAAATGTTCTTCTGAGTGGAAGGGCAAAAATTTCCCCAGACTCACTGGGAAAGCCTTCCCAGAAGAATGGCAGCTGTGTGTCTATATTGATGCCTATGGATTTAGAATGGGATGCCATAAAAGTTCCTGTAGGTGTAGTGGCCCAATACTTTTGTATTGTATTGTAGTCCCAATACTTTTGTCCATACAGTGTGCATGTACCTAAGACTGTATGTAGTATGTTTGCCAGCTATTAAAGGGCTCTGACAGTTCACTCTTTGATATGCAGGTTTTCAAGCAACACACGGCAGCTAACAGTTTCAAAAAGGCAAAAGGATCTAACTTAAAGCATGGTCAATCATCACAACACATATGCAGTATCACTATACATTTTTCAATGTAGACATAAAGGTAGGCTTTTACACAAATTTAGTTTTTATAAAACATTTTTATTTGAATATTGTGCATTTTCACAGTTTTTCAATAATACTCCATTTCAAGTATTAATGTTAAATATAGGATTTATATATTTTAAAAAATCCTGCTGTCATCTGCAGCATTGCAATACATTTTATTAGGATCTCCCTCAAGAAAAGAACATGGTTTGGGACTCAATAAATATTCATCACGCTTTTGCCTTGCACTAAGAGAAGTTCTCTAACCTTATGGCTGATGTCTGTGCTGATTCCAGTGGCTTTTTCATACAGTACCTTTTGCAAATGAATACTCAGTGTTATCACTGGGATATCTCCAGGCTAAGCAAAGATAACGTCACAGGAATACCTCACGACACGTATTGGCAAAACACAGCAGCATTAATCCATTCAACCACAGGCAGCTGCCAAGTAAAGTGTTTTGGAACAGACAGTATGTCCTACTCAGTGTATTCACACAAAACATGGCTTCCACGTCCTCTGTTGAAACAGCACAGTCACAATAGCAAAGAGTTAGTCTTTATCAGAGCACAAGAGCATCCCTCTCTGAGCTGGTTTGGTTTCTCACAGCCTGGAAATCACGCAGCCCTGAGTTTGAGATGCTTGACACTAAAATCCCATCTGAGTTGAACTAACACTTGGCGTAAATGTCACCACCAATGCTCAAAGGGCACCTCCCCGGTAGTTTGAGCGTGAGTTTGGCGGCGAAAAAGTGGGCGTCCCCTTGCATGTCGGGGGCTGGCCCACATAGCAAAACACAGCCAGGACTTCAACAGACTGCAGTGGTGCTAAAGCAGACACAGGTACAAAGTCGCAGTTTCTGCATGAGAAAATGTGTCTGTGTGCAAAGGGTGCAGTCTTTGTGTTACAAGGAAATGCACAGAAACCAGCAATGTGAAACGTTTCAATTAAACAAGAGCCGGTAAAGCTTTTTTAACACGTCTGAAAGCTGAAACATGACAGAGGGCAGCATCCGAGGACCTGCTGCCCCCGCTCAATGAAGAGGTAAATGTGAATGACGGGAGCATGTCTTCCACCAATTCTCATGTCTTCCACCAATTCTCATGTCTTCCACCGATTCTCGATAAGCGAGCGGCTGCTCCTGGCCACTCCATACTGGGCAGTATCTACGGCGCTAATTACAGGCCTCCCATGGTCTAAGGATGATCTCCACCCACAGCGGCCTACAGGACTACAGGAATTTCAATGCCAGCGGCAGGGATTTGCAACCTGTGACCTGTGAGAACTGGTTCCCTAATGCAAATTACGTTGACGGAAAAATGGAGGGAGCACAGTTGGAAACACTTGCGAGGTCTTAGCGTGTCGTCTGAATCAAAATAATCAGCATTTCACAATATGCGATCTACAGTAAACTTTACAAAACATTCAGTTCCAGGTATTTCAAAGGTTTACAGTCTTCTTCCAATACTGACGCCCAGTAATGTTGACCAGTCAACACTACTCAGTAGACAGTGACCTCATTCCATGTCCTCTGACCATGACAGGTAGTACATATGACAGTAAGATCTCCTGTGCTTGTCCATCTCATATTCCAGATGCAATGCACATTCTTCACAACTACTTAGCCCACTTTCACTCTGAGTTTTCACAGCAGTAAACATTAATGCAACATCCAAAAGCAAATCCTCTAGAGAAATCCTAGGGAGAAAATTAATACTCTGATGGTAGAACTCTGAAGTAGAAATTCAATTCATTTCTACATCTCAAAATCATTTACACTCAATTGCTGCAGTCCACTCCAGTATTTCTTTAAACAAATGCATGAATCAACCCAAAGATCTTAAAACACATCTATAATCATTATTTCTTGTAAAAATTAGATCAGATGTTTGTTTAACTCTCTGACCCAGCAGAGCCCAGTTCTACATCAGAATACAAATAATTGCAAAATATATTTACATATGGTAATCCCCTCCAATCAGACTTCATAAAAAAATGGAGAGAATACATGAATAAGTTATCCAATAAATAGTAATTATATTTCAAGACTTCAGCAGGTCTGAGATGGAAAAGATATTCTTGCTCAAGCAGTGCTTTGATCCATCCATCTGTCTTGTAAACCACACATGAAGTACAGGGTCGTGGTGAACCTAGAGCTGGGGTGGGGAACCTGATCCATGGAGAGACACTGTGGAGAGACACTGTGGGTGCAGGTTTTTGTGATGACCTCTCAATACGTGAATAACAAGACAGTGGTTCTCAACTCCAGTCCTGGGGACCCACTATTATTGGCTGATTGAGAGGCCATCCCAAAAACCTGCTCCCACACCGGCCCTCCATGGAACAGGTTCCCCACCCCTTGCTTAGAACCTACCCCAGGAAGCTGCCCTGGGTCCCAGTGAATGGTACTTTCAGTCAGGCCCACTGTTATATACAGGTTGAGGCCACAATACAGAAGCCTGTGGCCTTGATTTCACCTGTCTCTTTAGCTTACGGGAAACAGAGACTCATGGGAGTTTTACTTACACAAAAATGTTTTGAGGGCAGAAGGAAAAATGATTAGTTCAGAGAGCTAACCAATAAGATTATAGAGGAGGTGGGTCCAAGCAGCTAGAGGCAGGACCAAGACTTCTAAACATTTCTTTGTAAGTATAACTCCCATGAGCAAAGGAGAGCACCTGGATGGCACACTGATGCAGAATTTAACACAATACCCAGCCTTCCATGGCGGGAATATTATCCACAATGCAAACTCTCCATGGAAAAACATTTTTCTACAGTCAGAGTTATTCATAGTACCACTGACTTGGCAGCCTGCCAACCTCTACGATTGCATATCAATAATCTTATTGATCACATGCTGGTGCTCCCATGGAACTAGAAAGTAGCTGATGTCACGCGGCCTGAGTAATTAGACAGCGCAGTGCAGACTGGGACCATAATTTCAGCTGCAGTACCCAACAAAGAAACCTGCTGCACCCCGTCAATGTCACTGGAGAGCCCCAGAGCGTTTTGAGGATGCTGCTTTGTTGCAACACAATGATCCTCGGCCCTCTATTCAACATGCAGGACTAATATAGCTCTGCGTGACATGGCTTATACACCAGTGGTCAGTATTACTCTCATCAGTGATTTGACTTCCGTTCAGTCCGCTCTTTTTTCATGCACAACAATGTGTCTCATAGTGTCAGCTGGTATCACTTCCCCACGTGCTCCTTGCTCCGCCTTTATGTTGTTCCCATCAGCTTTCTTCTTTCCTCTTTCAGTAAGCCTTGCAAAGAGCACAGGACATGAATACTGCATCATACTGAGTTTAAGGCAAACATGTCAATGAAAAGCAATATATTAAGTGTAAGGCCGCATGGACAGATGCCTTGCATGTGATCTCTCGGTTGAGTATTGCATATTCCTTCGTCTGACATATTTTTACTCTTTCTTTTAATTGAACATACCTTTGACCAAAATAACACAACACCAAAATTCCTTATGCACAAATAAACAATGCCTCTCAATAAATAATCCTACTTTGTGTTAAATGTGTATAAATCCGCTCTTCATTTTGTAAAGATGATGCTCAATCCATTTGAAAGGTAGAATGGTTTACAGTAGTAGTTATTGTTTGTGTCTCAGGTCAACGAAACACGTCCATTTTGTAAAAACCCATGATGTCTGTTGTTTTTCTTTAAACCAGCTGGATGAGGCATTCAGTATTTGGGCGGAATTACTACAATGGGATCTCCAGTCGCTGGCCGCCACATTAGGACCTGGGCATCGTTGGCGTTGGGTTTGACCATGGCTTGAGGCGGAATAGGCTCGTTCTTAGCCAGTATCTGTGGCTGATCCTGGGACGCCGGCTCCGTCAGCTTGGCCCGCTGGCCCAGCGGATTGTCCGGGTTGATCTCGATATGCAGTCGCATCCTCCACCGGATGGTCTGCAGTACCAGTGTTTCTCCTGTCCCCTGGTTTATGGCCACTAACCAGGTGGTGAAGCTCTGATCACGGCGTATGCTCGTGAGCTGAGGCAGGTTGCTGTTGCTCACTGGCACTCCCCACGTCACGCTGGGGTAGAAATTGTCATTCATGCTCACGGTGAACCTACTTTCCTTCTTTGTGGGACCCACAATTGTGCATGTCTCTGTGGTGTTGCCGTACCAGGGGTAGTTCACACCGTCTGAATCACTTATTGCTTGGATCTTATCATCCCTTAGGTCTGGAAGCTCCCAGCTTGACCTTGGGAAACAAAGTCAAGAAGAAACCTGCTCAGATTAGGTATATCTTACCAGTATTATAGTACATACTCTATAATGAATCAGGTGATGAGATGATAATACTGCTGATTAAATAGACATGTTACTATGACAAGAATGTTTGGCTCACAGACATCTCTGATTTAGACTAAGGCTACACCTTAGATTGGAGTTGAAATGCAGGAAGTTTTTACAATCCCTCTTTGAGCAGCCACCTTCACCTAGGTGACCCTCCCACCAAAAGTGAAGTGTGACTCGTCAGCCTGTGACAGACCCTCTCAATGGAACACCTATTCACCGTCTCCTCCAGGCCTCTCGCAGTTTAGGGCCGCTGTCTGTGGTTTACCTGCTGCACGAGAATATAGGGGATCGATCTTATGCAAATCACATAAAACCTCATGCAGCACTTCCTGGCTGATGGTGCACGTGTGTCTTTAGTGAAGGCTGAAGGGGCAAAGAGTTACTGTCACACTTGAAATTAATCATCGCCACCAAGAAAAGAGTGACAGTCAAATGTTGTATTGATAACACACCATACTGAAATTGGCCAAACTGAACAACTCTACAAAGAGTCATTAAAAAATATATGAGTTCTAATTTCAAGCAAACACGCTGTATTATTAAAAAGCCTTTGGCGAATTAAGCATGTTAGAATACCTCAGCAGCTGGAAAATTAGTCTCCCTGTTATGAAACTGATAGCCTCCAAAATCATTGCGTCTTTGCACAAACACCTCCTCACAGGACAAGATATCAGAGCCATCGATGTACAACCAGGTAACATTCTGCAAACTCTGCTGACCATGGTCACCTGACAGTAAAAATACCTCTAAATAAAGTTAAAGTTAAAGTATCTTATTTCTGCATTCTCTTTAAATTGTAAATATGAAAGCAGACAAATGGGTGGGGAGTGTAAGTTCCTGCTAATCAGGCAATGTGCTGTAATATGTCCTTTAAAAATAAAAGGGTGTAAAAGTGAGTGACTCAGCAGGTCAAGAAACTGTACCTGTGATCAGAGGGTCACTGGTTCAAATACCAGGGGCAGCCAAGTGATTTCAGCATTGAGTCTGTGGGCAAGGGGCTGTCTGACCCAGCTTTCTCAAAAAATGTATGTCACTTTGAATAAAAGCATCTGGTATATAAATAAAAAATTTGATGTGAATATAATTTCTTCAAAGGTGTTTGTGTTTCAGAATCAGATGTACTTACACTCTACATCATTGATCACAACCTCCCAGATACTGGTTCATATTATGGTTGTTTGTTTCTTTCCCGTTAAGTGAGGGTAGAGGTAGAGTAAGTGTGCCCAAGCTGGCCAATGAGCGACGGCCTCACAATGAGCCCCTGCTTGTTCCAGTGAGCTCAGCATCAATGTCACTGGCAACAGAAAAATCCATTGATGCTCTGGGGCTAGAATTAATTAAAACACCAAGGGGGAATGAGGCTGCACTGCTCTGTTTAATATGCTGATTACACAAAAGTACCTTTTTTATCATAACAGAGCTGACCTTATAGTAAGAATCCCCCCCCACAGGAGATCTATTCCACATGCTGGCCACAATCACTGGAGCCAGTGAATTAGCCTGGCTTTTATCAGTCACAACAGATTTCGTCTCCAGCTGTAACAATCCCAGGAAATGGGTGCATAAACAATAGTTATACCCCACTACAAAGTTCCTGGATTCCTGGGGCTGCTATAGGCTTCATTTCAATGTTGCAGTGTGCTCCATTGCCCGCCCGGTGGGTACCCCCCCCTGCCCCCTGCACATTCACATTACTGTTTCTTAAAAGGGGGACGTTTATGGGAAATGAAGCATCCATAACCATATTAAGTTATTAAGTTGCTATTCTAAGAAAAAGGATATAAATACTGTGCATGACAGCTCATTTTAAAACACACAGGTACATGCCTGCAGTCATGTTCAGTTTACAAATAAGACTGTTTTGTTATTTCGAAATTTAAAAAAATAACTATATAATATAATAACCTTATAAAACTGAAAAAGGCTGGAAAAAACTTTGCAGTTAATTGCCTTCATCTTAATAGGAAACAAATCATCATGTGACCTGACAGTATTGTTAACGTTGTGAAAAGATAGCTAATTCTGGTAAAAGAACCAGCTTGTAACTGGCCAGAATGCGTAGATTCTGGGGGGTGAGTTACTCAGCGGGCCAAGCCTCTGTGCCTGTGATCAGAAGATCGTCGGTTTGTATCTTCGCCCTCAGCAGAACAGTCACATGTCTGTGGGCCCTTGAGCAAGGCCCTTATCCACCAGCTCCAGAGGCCCTGCAAGATAGCTGACCCTGCGCTGTGACCCCCAAGCTATGGAGAGCAAGATGGGCTTGGTGAAGAGAAGCATTGCAGTGTACCTGTACTTGTGCAGATGGCAAATAAAGCAGGTCTGTTTGTTTTGTGCGACACTGCAGAGTCACGGCCCGAGTGTAAACAGCAGACGGACCCTAATCCTCTGGTAAAAACGGAAGGACAAAATTCACAGACATTGCATGTTTTTATTTTAATTCTGTTTTTTTTCTCTCTTTCTCCTTTTTCCAAAAACAACCTGTGTAGTGTGCATATCAGAATTGTGTCAATGTTTTAGCTGTAGTAAAATGTAATGGGTCGTACCAGTGTGCGATTACCATCCCCTAATAAACTTCACATATTTGTAATCTCTTACTATGGATTCTGACAATCAGAACTCTGCACTCTGCTTCTTCAATTCAGTCCAGTTCTTCAAGTTTTTCAACTTTCCATTTTAGTCATTAATGAGCAGAAACAAACAGCCACAACTATCCGTCTCCTTTTACAACATCAGACACATCATTCTTATTATATAGCTCAGATCTGTCTGTACACTTTTGATTCTTGTTGTTTTTTACTATTATTATTATTATTATTATTATTATTATTATTATTATCACATTCATCCATTTTCCAGACCGCTCATCCTTCTGGGTTGCAGGGGGTCCGGAGCCTATCCCAAAAGCTATGGGCACGAGGTGGGGAACAATCCAGGATGGGGGGCAGCCCATCGCAGGGCACATTCACACACCATTCACACCTATGGGCAATTTAGTAACTCCAATTAGCCCCAGCATGTCTTTGGACTGTGGGGGGAAACCTGAGTTGTTATTATTATTATTATTATTATTATTATTATTATTATTTTTATTATATTGATCTGGTTTCCTTGTTCCTTTTAGTTTTCAAGATTAGTTCTATCCCCCTTAGTTTTGTTGTTTGCCTCAGGACACCTTCAATTGCCTGCTCGTGATCAGATTTATTCGTGCGGCTTCTGACTCGCATTAGAGTTTGCTCCGTTACAGGCTTTTCTATGTCGTGCTTCAGTGCTGTCTCCTACAGTACGTGCATGTTCTGCTGGTACCTCCGGAGGTGTGTCATACTTCTTTTGAGTACGGAAAAGCCTACAGTCAGAAGGACTGCCGCATTATATCTTTTCAGACCCTTTATAGATCATAAAAGCAGGCTTTAGCAAAAAGCCTCGCGAAGAAATACATCCATTATCACACTGACTGTTTAAGTATGGAGTAATGGAATAACGTAGTGCGGCTTCACTACTGAGGTTGCTTCAAGCTGATAACTTTTTTCTTTTTAAAATAACTTTGGTTGGTTAAGAATGAAAATATCTGTTATCTAAATTAAAGCACTATGCATTGAAACTCCGCGTGTACCGTGTACACTTTTAATCGGTCCTTCTTAAGTAGTCACAGGAGTGCCAGAAAATGGTAATGCAATGTTAGAAATAAATCTGGTTCAGAAGTAACCTGCACTGTAATATCAATAAAAAAATTTAACACAATACTGTCACGCCGTTTTACTACTTAGGCAATAGGTAAACACATGGGCGTAATTACGCTTATTGTAGGGGGGCTTTAACCTCCTTAAAATGCTTTTTAGCTGCGTCCCCGAAATAAATATGCATTTATTAATTGGCTTAAGTCATAAGCAGTTTGCCGTCAGCACCCCCTAGTAAAGACTCAGCCCCCTTATCCATTCATCTCTAAATATGCCCCTGGGTCAATACAAGGTTCTCAACAAATATATTAATTGCATGCACTGATACATTAAGAATTGTTATGAATATGGTTTTCACTCGATGCCTCCAAAAACATACATTAAGACGGATTTTGCATTCTAAAGACCTAAAAAAACAGATGTACACTGTTCCGTTGGTGCAATAGTGTGCAAATCATGCTTGTAAATTAAATGCTGGAATCAGCCCTTACGTAAATCCGTACCATAACTGACATTAAATTCAGGTTTAATATTAACATATAAAAAAGTCAATATAAGTCAAATGTTTCATAACAACATGGCCCCAGCCATCTGCGTCAAAAGACAATTATTTCAAGCTATTTTAATGCTGTTACACATCCGAAAAGGTCATACTTACATCCCCTTCTTCCCATACTTGTTGTGGAACTCCATGTGATTGCACGCTTGAATCCATCCCACTATCCACGTCTCCTTGCAGGCGAATGGAGGCACCAGTACGCGAGCCGAGGCTCGGAAGTGGGGGGTTCGGTACCGCAGAACCACGCTAGAGGACTCATCGATGCTGGTGGGTTTCGAGTCGATGGAAGAGGTGACTTCGAAGACTTTGATACTTTCACGGAAACCCTTTGGCTTGCATCTGATACTCTGAACACAGCCCATCGCATTAAATAAGCATATATGCCATAAGATCTTCCAGTTGTCTCGGTAAAAAAGCCGCATTGAAATATCCGTATGATCACAGTGAAGTTGCCTGCGGTGTATCGGTTTGCACACACATGGACAGTGTCTCTCTGACAGATCGTGTAAGTTCACGCTGCGCTTGATTGTATACTTTGTATTTTTCCTGTAGCTGTCAAATTCTGCAGATTTATAAAATGTCGGATTTCAAAATTGGCATTTTAGTGATATTGCCAGTGATCTCGGTGACAAGTGCGCGTTAATTTGTCCTCGAATAATTTGACAAAAGCAAGTTTCTTTTCCGTATCTTCCTGCTTCCTCCTGCCTTCTGACTTGAACACACGTTTCGACTGCTCTTTTAGTGGTTTATCATGACAGCAAGTGAACGTAATCCCAGTTACAATCGCTACGTAAAACTTTGCGCGATTTATGTATTCGGACTCCAGTCAAATTAATTCAGGCCATAAGACAAGAATAAAAAAACAGCTACAATTAAGCAGGGGAATACCTAAGACTCAATTTAAACGTGTCGCTTTCGGTTAATACTTCCATTTAATCATTACTAGCGACAATATAAATTATATCAATAGTTTTCTCAGTTCGGAACGACGTGATAACGTAAAAGGCATTATGGTGAAATATACACACGTCAAACTAACGACATATTGTACTCAAATTGGTGATGCGAGGAGTTAATGGGGGAAAATAGAAAATTTATCAAAGACAAAATTTCAGTTATGCGTGTTGTATCTCATAATAAATAGCGTGCAACATTTTCTTAAAGCTATGAAGCTGCATGTATACCTGCGTTATCAGACAGTCACATCAAGCAAAACCATTCATTTGTTTGGTTGTAAATGTTTCCAAAAATAATTCTCAGTGTCCCTGTTGAATAAAAAATGCCAAGCAAAACGCCATTTGTTATGGTTTGCCTTCAACATATTAAAACGAGGATGGTTAGCCTATCTGGAGGACCAGAGTAGAGCGGCGGACGTCGGGAGGTAAGTGAGAAATACATACCACTTGTCGGTTACATTAGATAGCTTTTAAATAGAAAGGTCTGCATTAGTAACTGTTCGCAATAGACTGCCCTGTCCAAAGCCATGCTCCGGTGAAGCACTTCTCATCATTGTTTTCTATTCTTGGACAATTTAGTAATTGATCCTCACTGTATCTTCTTTCCATTAACATAACGCCAAGATGTTATCAAGTTTTATTTATTTCAAGTGTACAATGTACACTGAAATAGCCAAAGGTAGGCAGGTCAACTTTCCTCTTTTACTTTTCGCTTGTCATCAAGAAAAGAAAGCCACAAAAATAATTTTATTGCCGTAGTAAGGTGTGATTGCTGCGACCCAATCCACTTCTTTGTATGCCTTTTCTCCTCGGTATGAATCCAGGAGAGTCCTTCGCTCCCTTTGCCAGTCGCATCACAGCCACAGAAGGTTGCCTCTCATGCAATTCTACACCTCAGCTGGTAGAGATGCAGCTCTTTTATCCCAGCAGCTTTGACACGACACTTCCGCCTAAGACAGCTGATGTCATGGGATTTGTAGTTCAAACACCCAGAACGCATCTTGTCCTGTGCTTCGTAACAATGGTATGGATTTTGAAAATCTGGATAGATGCTCAGTAATAAATTACCTATTCGATGGACGATTTATTCTCTTTGCAGTACGCATATGTTCATGTTTATGTTTGTATTTATGATTATATATGTATATATTCGTTTATGGGCTTTTAGATTGCATGTACGATGTCACGTTTTAGGGGCAATGTCTTCTAATTTTTGTGGGAAAATGTAATTCTTTTGGTGATGACTGGTGATTGTAATATTCTAATTTCCGTTGCAGTCGTGCCAAATTTCCAATGCTTGCTTTCCACTTAAGCACCATGGAGAAACTCCCATTGGCAACGTTTTAAATGGAGAAAAATGCACTGGATAAAGAGAAATGCAAGCGTCGCAGCGCAGTGGGCAACTGTAATGATTACACACAAGAGTCGATGTATATATACATAACCACACGTCTTCTTACTTTATAATGGGCTACACACGTTAAAAAATAAATCTGGCAGTGACAGCGCTGAAAAAGTTTCGACAGTTTCCATTTGATAGTCCATCAAAACTGAAGTGTTGCATCTGTACTATACCTTCTACCAATTCGTCGGATTGTCTGATAGATGATATATAGAAAATATAAAAAGCACGTAAACCAAGGATGGGAAATACAGTTCCCAACATGCTCTGCAGAGTGAAACTGTTCTTGTATCTACGGTATGGGGCTTAAAATATCCCAGCTGTCTTCGAAGGCTCTTGCCTGTCACTAATCCGTTTGTTTTGTTCCTTTTTCTGTAGATTGCCGTTCACTGCATTGGCTGTACCAGATGCCAGTCAGTCGTGTGTAAGCTTGTTAACAGCGCGGAGTAAACAGCATTTGCATGTTTTTCGTCTAATAAGCTAGTAAGGGAGTTAGGCTAAATATAGCTGAGGTTTGTAGCTGTAAGAGGTCAGGAGGACCGTACTCGCTTATAACCTCTACACATCTGTTAGCGGCGAGAAAAGTAGATTGATTTGCTTAAAGCGATAAACTGAAGAGAGAAGAACGACAACCACGACATCGAGATGCCTGCACATCAGAGTAGATCCAGGACAAGGGATCGGAACAATGTCCTGAACAGACCCGAGTTCATGTCACTGAACCACCCTCTAAGGACTGGTAGTAACGCTGAAGTTCGGGGGTCTGGGAGGCGAGCCGGCCAGACGAAGCACCCGCAGTGCCCGCACCAACAGGCTGATCATGCACAGGAATCGGTCGAACATAACAAGGACCGAAGGGAATCTGTCAAATTACCCGAAGAAGACTGCATGCAGCTTAACCCCTCCTTTAAAGGCATAGCGTTTAACTCCCTTTTGGCGATCGACTTGTGCATGTCCAAGCGCCTGGGGGTTTGCGCCTACGCCTACTCCTCCTGGGGCAGCATCCGCTCCATCGTGGGCCTCCTGGCGCTCACTGGCCACTTCATCCCGTGGATCTGTGGCACCATTCTGTGTCTCAGCAGAAGCAACACGTTGGCAGGGCAGGAGGTCTTGGTCAACCTTCTACTCGGTGAGTTGCTCCTAATAAATAATTTATGAAAATACGCTGTAGCCTTTTTTAGTCTGTTGTGCTGCAATGTTATGCATGCACCCCAAATACGCAAATTTCGCTATGGGAAAAGTGAGTGTTTTTTTATGATTATTATTTTCTTAATGTGATGTGTAGTACACGTTTTTGGGAAAAAAAAAATCTTTTATGACCTACGCATACTGGAAGCCTAGTTACCAATGCCGTTAAGTCTGTCAATGTGTATAAATAGGCTGTTCTGGGTGCATTTCTATCCTTTGGGTCTCAAATTACCTCCCTGCAAGGATTTGCATGAAAGTGCTCCAGACTTAAATTCCTTCCAGCATTTAATTTACTATAAAAAAGACCACAACAATAGTCCAACATTCTGTGTTTCAAACATTGAAATATTGTACGTTATATCTTCACAAATTATAATATTTTTTCGTTTGTTAAATAAAGTTTGAGGGATTAAAAGAATGGCGTTGCCGGTAACATACCTGCCTTACACTCCCATTCAAGATGTGTGTGTGTTTGTATGTGTGTGTGTGTGTGTGTGTGTGTGGTCCAGGTATTACATTCTGGGAATCAAATGTCCCCACATTGTAATAAAAACCTGCTATTTTGATGTTGTGGGGACCATTTTTTCAATCCCCACAAGGGGAAACTCAATTGTACAAAAATCTGTTTATACAATCTGGTTAAGGTTAAGGCTGGGTAGGGATCATCATGTTGGGATTATATAGAGTTTTCCCCATATAGATGAATGGAGAGTCCCCACAAAGATAAAATTGTGTGTGTGTGTGTGTGTGTGTGTGTACTTTGCATGACCTCACGCCTGCATCGCTATCTCCAAATACCCAGGCACAAGCAGTTCAGGTGAATTGGTGGGCCTGGTTGGAATGACTGCTCACTGGGGTGACCTGGGCTGAATTTGCATGCATCCACCTTATCAGAGGAATCACTGGTATATAAGGAGATCTCAAAAATAGACAAAGTTAATACAAAGTGTACAGCTAACTGATGTTCTGTGCATCTTAGTGAACATCACCTGTACACACATACAGATATATCTGAAGCTGTAATGAGGTTTGTATATACGTGTGGGGGGCGATGCGGGGAGTTTAACAGTGCTGTGCAGTGTCATGCAGCAGTTGTCTGGTGTGCGCTGCTGGGACAGCGTAGTATTTCAGAAAGTCACTGCCTGTCCTGGCTCAAATGTCTGTCTCAGTTTGCAGTACTAGTGGACACATACTCTATACTCAGCCACTCATATAGCATTGCTAAAAGCAGGCTGACTGCTGTTTGTGATTTACACAGACGATCAATTGCCACACAGTGATTTAAATTAGGCGTCTCATCACCGATTACACAAAGCCAAAATTGGATTTGGCTTCATTGAGAATAGAAACTTAAGTTGTCTTGCACTCATGAGTATACAAACCCTAAATTACATAAGACAGAAGTAAACTAAAAAAACACTGTTCACTGCCTCTGAAGTTTAGCACTGGGTCTCAGGGACAGTTCTTAGATTTTGTTTCATACCACTGCAGTTTTCCCCAAACACCTTGAACAGCTTGCACTGCGAGTTCAATCTGACAGAACAGATGAAATATTAGCTTGCAAATACCTTGGCACAAGGTTGGTTGTTTTATATTGGTTGCATGTATCTCTGACAACCTTCCCTCTTCCTTTGACTCATACTCCCTCTTTCAATTCTATAAGAAAATGCACATTGAAAAGCAATATCCTCTCCACTTTCATCACTTTACTGTTTTTTTGTTCAAGCATTACTTTACTATCTAATTCTAAATTGGGACAGTGATTTAGGCCTAATGGAATCAGTTTGCATTGCATTATTTTTACACTACACTATTTTACACAATTTACCCTATCTGTCGTCTGTGTTTTATGAGAAATACATGCTGAAGATCCTTTTATTTGGGTAAATTAAATGAATATAGTGCAATGAGACTGGTCGCGAACTGGAAGTTTACTGCATTATATTGACATATTACAGGGAGAAAAAACAAGCACAGATGAATTGACAGCTAATTTGGGTTATAAAACTGAAACGCACACACACACATATATGTATGTATGTGTGTGTATATATATATATATATATATATATTTGTGTGTGTGTGTGTGTGAGAGAGAGAGAGAGAGAGATAGAAAAGCAGTATCACAAACACAGGCATAACAGTACCAGAAATAATGTTACAATGATGAGCCTTTGTGTTTGATTTAGCTGATCTCATTCCTCATTTGTTTCCCTGTATCCAACCAGCTGGCCCTTTTAAAACCAAAAACAGGCAATTAGTCCAGTTGGGAACTGCTAGGTTTTATGAATTGAGTTACCTGGCAATAAATTGCCAAGGAAATGTCAATGATTACCAAAACTATAGCTTATCTACAAAGTTTATTCCTGGCCTATGGGCTGCTTAAGACCTGCGTCTGTGGTGATGGTGAAACTTAAGGGGCCCATGCCTTCAGGGAAACCTGACCCACAGGGAGCCATCGTGAGTCGCAGGAGTTCACCCTGGCGAATGTGCTGGGACTCTCAGAATGTGGTGGGACTCTCAGAATGTTCTGGGACTCTCAGAATGTGTGATATCTTAGGTAACGGGGAGGAAGATCATAGGTCGGCAGAGGTGACGTTTCATCATTACAGCCCCATGGCTCTTCTTCTCAGGATGGGACATTCTCGTTGAAGTGGGTGAAATGGTATTTGGAATATATTTTGCTAATAAATGTGCTTTTTGGCAGGAAATTCAAAATACTGTTGTTTACCTTTAAATGAAGGTGTTTAAGAAACTCACTAAATCTGCGTCTGTTTTTCCTGCACTTGACTATCTTGAGATCTTTCACACAGTTATTTTTCTTCAGTTGTACACAGGGTTGGTCTCATCCTGTTACCCACGGGCTTCCATTTCTGGAACGTCCATAACATTATAGTCCAAATGAAAGAGTAAAGTGCTCTATCATAGCGCCTAGACGCCGTAGCCTGACATGTTTTTGAAGCATGTCTGTGGGGTTCATCCAAACACTGGGTGTAGTCACGGTCTTCCAGCTCTGAATGTTGTGGTTAAAAATGTCCCCCTTGAAATGTACTCCAGGGATTGGGTGCTCCTCAGTGATGTCATGGGCATCCCTCTTTCACCTCCCACATGGATGCCACAGCGCCCTGTGAGGTGGCACAAAGGATTAAATCACAGCACACCTCTGCAGGTTCTTTGCAGATTGGGGTCTGAGCTGACCCCGGCCAGGACCTGGCTCAGCTCAAGCAGAACCTGGTCGGCCTGCCAGAGCAGCACTGCAGTGGATCTCCAGGTCTGGCTGGAGCGGATTT